GGGAGCAGCGGGCGGGTCAGGAGAGGTCTGCCGCGCCATGTGGTCACCTCCGGGGCTGGGGATTGAACTCGTGCTGCAGGGCTAGTACTTATTTTAATATTGGAGTGAGCATATACCTTTTTTATGGTCTGAAAATGCTATCACTTGGTAGCACTTAAATTGTGATGTTCTTCCCTTGTGCCCAGTTCCCTGCCACCTGCTACCTCAGCCTCATTCCCTCTTTTCCGCTACCAGCCCTGACTTCTGGTAACATCTAGCTAGCCTTGAGCACAGCATCATCCTAAGCACCCCAGCGTCCGTCCATATGGACACTCCACGATCCTCTTTTGGCTTTTGCCCTGACTTCTGCCTTAACTGGATGCCTGGTTGGCGGTTCCACAGCTAGCAAACAGGGGGCATTCCCTGTGGGCGGGGCGGGTAGCTCTCCTGGGAAGGTAGTTTTATTATCTGCAATGTACAGGTAGGGAAACTGAGGCACAGAGAGGCTACCAGTCCGCCTGTGGTCACAGAGCTGGGACTGAATCCAGGAAACCTGGCGTCCGGGGTGTGCACAGCTGCGCTCTGCAGCCTCGGAGTGTCCAGTACTGCGTCCCCAGCTGAAGTGGAGACCCCCATTTCAGGAGAGTCCAAGGCAGTTCAGAAGAGACACACGGCACAAAGGCCGAAGGAGCAGGCCTAAACACGAGCCAGTGGGAGGGATGCCGCTGCTGCCAGCCGCGGGATGCTTCTCAGGGAAGCCGGAGTGGCCCGCTGGAGGCATGATGGGCAGCCGCCGGACACCGGGCTTTCTGCAGGAGGGCCGCCGGGCCTGCCCGGAGGACGCTGCCCTCGGCTCCGTGAGCCCCAGCGCCGAGGCCGGCGGCCCTCCAGGCCGGGTTTCCTCTTTCAGAGCCCAAGATGAGCATCAGGACCATCTACCTGGCCATCCGGGTGGTCAAGCACACCCTCTCCGACACCCGGTCCAAGGTACAAGGCCAAAGCCTGGAGGGGTGGCCCGAGGCCCCGCTGGAGACGCGCAGGGGCATTGGGGTGGGCTCCCCAATCTCGCCCCGGGGGTGGAGGCCCAGATGCAGCCCCTTCAGGGGGCCTGGCCGGGAGCCTCGCTTCTCCCCGCTTCTCCCGAGGGCCGCCGGCCTCCCAGGGCAGAGTCTCAGACGCCACCCAGGGCAGAGGAGACCCCAGGCCAATCAGCTTCCCAGCACTGGGCTGCGGGGGAGAGGGGTGGGCTGGTAAGGTCGTTTACCACATTAGGAAAGAGCACCTGAGGACACGCCCCCCTGCAGCACCTGAGGACATGCCCCCTTCCAGCACAGGCCGGCCTGGTGTGGCTGTGACTCAGCTGGCCCTGGGGGGCTGTAGTTGAGCCACAGAGGGAAGGGAGGGCGGGGGCTTCAGGCAGAGGCACCCTCAAGACCTTGAAGGCTGTCAGGAAAGAAGGGTCCCCCGTTTGGTGGTGAGCCCCCTGGCTAAGAGTCAGGCGGCCCAGGCAGGGCTCAGCTACACAGAAGTGTCTCTGATGAGGCTGCCGCGGAGGTCCCTGGGTGACATGGGGTGGTGGACAGAATGAGCAGTAGCCAGGTGGCCCCTGAACACTTGCATCCCAGAGCACCCCACTCCCCAGCGGCCTCCTGTACTGCTACTGCCAGGCCCCTCCAGGCCTACAGCCCCCCGCACGGCCTGTCCTGTCCCCATAGGTGCGGATGGCCATACTCCGCATCATCGGTCAGCTGGCGCTGTCTGGCTTCCAGGACAGGATCAAGGGCTGGGGCCTGAAGTACGTGTCCATGCAGCTGACCCAGTCCACCTACAAGCTGGTGAGTGGCCCTCGCAGCAGACACCCGGCGTCTGGACTAGGCAAGTGTTTCCAAAGCACTGGGGTGGGGGCGCCCCGCAGAGCCCCGGGCCTGGCCCTGCATGTGTGCACAGCACGTGTTGCCTGGCCTGAGCACACCAGGGACGGCTTACCCAGATGTGGTAGGCTGCAGGCAGGAGCGAGCAGCCAGAGACCCACGCACAGCTTTGAGTTTGGAGACCCAGAATCTGGGCATCAGCCCGCAGCAGTGAGGAGACCATACCCAGGACCCCAGGGTGTGGGGTCCCTGCCAGCCCCCAAGCAGGGACCCCTGGCTCTGTGTTCCAGACAAACCGCCGGGAGAGTTTTTATCAGAGGGACTTGGAGGAGAAGATGGTCCACAAGGTCACCATGGACACCGTGAGGGTCATCACCTCTTCTGTCAGTGGGATGACCAGCGTGAGTGAGCCCTGCCCGCCTGGGGTAGCTGGGGGCCTGGGTCTCCCAGTCACCTGAGCTCGCAGCCTTCACAATACAGTCGCAGGGCTGGGTCCCTAGCAGGCACGAAGCACCCCAGAATCTGGGGTATGGTAGGCCTCAATCCATTCGCTTATTGTCTGTAATGTGTCCATTACCTTAAAAGCCCTTCAGTCCAGGTGTGTGCACGAAGGAATTCTTTTAACGAATAATTCCACAAGCATTCAGTGAATTCCCACCATGTGAGAGACTTGGGGGCACGTACTGGAGAGTTTAGTATGACCCCAAGTAGTTCACAGGCTTTAGGGGAAATGACTGTGTCTGGTTTCAGTTGCAAAGACATGTGACGTAGCAATAAGATAGGAAAAATGTACCGTGACAGCGTGCGGTGTCCGTTAAGGGGCGCTAGGCTGGAGGGTCCCTGTGCAGCAGCAGCCGGTCTTAATCACGGACACACTGAGAACCGCAGGGACGCCGAGTCCTGCATTTCAGGGGTGCCGTTCCAGAAGTCCAGCCGGCCGCGTGTCACTCAACCGCCCAGCAGCCCTTGCGTGAGGTCCCTATTGTCACACGCTTTCTCAGACAAGGAAGCCAGGCTCAAGGGGCTCACTCATTTACTCAAGCGCAGGAAGCTGATACACGAGGATCTGGGCTCCAAATGCTGTTGTCCCTGGGGGAGTCCAGTCTAGTTCGGGCAGCTAGAAAAGTTCAGCACCTGCAAGTTTGTTGAAACACAGGAGCCTCACCCCAAGTTCCTAGGGTGGAACTGAGGGGAGCAGGATCAGCTGCGGGTGTTCAGCGATCGTCCAAGGAGAGGGGGTGGAGGGTGAGGTGGAAGATGGGCAGCCCCCGCCATCCCCAGGGAGCAGGGCCAGCGGGAGGCGCACACGGCCTGACTGATCTCTCAGCGTGGCCTGCGGCAGCCATGGCAGGCAGCCTGAGCTTTGCGAGGGTGTCTGCTGGAAAAGCAGTAGGAACAGGCAGCCATCTTGGGGTGCCATGTCTTCTGCAGGGAGACCTCAGTTTGCTCTAGCCCTTTCACCTGCGAGGATGGCCCCCGGCCCAGGTTATGGAGGCTGACCTCCAGAGCAGGTGACGGCCTCCGCACTGAGACCAGCGTCTGCTCGAAGGTCGGCTTCCCTGGCCCGGCCAAGCTCACACGCAAACTGAGTGTCGCTGGTGGCCAGCCAGGCTGGTCGCCTGCCAGTGTCCACCTCTAGGGATGGGGCCCAGGGGCAGGCTCTGGACCCAGGAGATGTGCTGCCATGTGTGTGTGTTGTGGGGAGAGGGGCTGGTGAAGCCAGCCGAGACTGGGGTTGGGTGCCAGGACCAGCGACCTCCCCTGGCTGAGCCCCTGGGTGCCTGAGGTGGTCCTGACAAGGACTTTCGGGGCCAAGGCAGGGAGCGGTCCAGCTAGGTCTGGAGGAATCGGGGAGGCTCCTTGCATGTCCAGGGGCCCAGCTAATCTTGTGCCCCCCAGGATTTTTGGGTCAGGCTCCTGTGTTACATCATGGAGACGGATTACACAGAGGCCTTGACCCCCATCTGCATCAGCCTCACAAACCTGGCAGAGCACCAGCTCCTCAGCAAGGACGCGGAGGACCCCGCGCCGGGCAGGAGCAGACACGGTGGGCGGCGCCCCTGCCCTGGCTCTTGGGACTGGGCAGGTGGGCAGCCCGTGTGGGCGTGCTCCCCCCCTTCTCCAGGGGTGTCCCAGGGCCCAAACAGATGTGTCCCAGGCCCCCCTTGCCACATCTGAGCAGGGGTTAAAATCCCGCCAGCGTCCTCTGGCAGCCAGGTCCTCGGGTGGCCCCTGCTGGCTCAAACCCCAGTCCGGAGCCCCGGCCCGCAGAGGGTGTGGCCAGCCTCTGTGCAGGTGCGACCTTCTGGGCCTCCGGGAGGTGGCTGGAGTTGCGGCAGGTATCCCTCTGAGTCCCCTGTAAACCACCCCCACCAGGGCCCCTGAGGCCTGACTTGGCCCCCTCTGTTTGGGGTGACAGGGCTGTTTCAAGGGGGCTGGCTACGTGGGGTAGGGCCGGAGCTGGAGGTACCTGTAGGACCCAGGACGGCCGAGGCGCCCTGCGCCCTATTTGAGCCAGCGCGGCCCCGGGGCCTTCCTCCCACCCTAGCCCGGCGCAGGGACTGAGGCCTTTGCTGCCCACCGCCTGGTGCTCCCTGATGCCTTGGCAGCCCTGGCCATTCCTTGCTCACTGACCCAAGGCCTGTGGGTTTGCCTCTCCCCACAGCCTGTGGGGGAGGGGGACAGAAGCCGCGACAGGGGAGGGAGGGGGGTGTCCTCAACACAGCCCAGGGGCACAGCAGGCCACAGACGCTCGCTCCCCTGGCGGGTGCCGGTGCCCCACAAGTTGAACAGGTCCCGGAATCGGCATCTGGGAGCCCAGCCCCACAGCTGGTGCCCGCTCCCGGGACGGGCAGTGAGGATGAGTCTCCGTGCAGGACCCTGTGGATACCCACACACCATGGGGGCGATGGGTGGTGCCGGGAGGCCCCTCCCAGGACACAGCACCTCTTGGCGCGTCCTGGCGCGGGTGGGGCAGCTCGGGAGGGTGGCGTCTCCTTCCTCCCCAGTGGACCTGCCTGCGCCGCAGAAGCTGCTGGCCCGTCTGCTGGTGAGTGCCCACCTGGGCGGTGACCCCCGGGCCAGGCCACAGCAGGGCCCTGAGCTCCTGGCCCCCGCCAGAGTCTCCAGAGCAAGGGGGAGGGGGACAGACACTGGTGGAACAGAGGTTTGGGGGCCCCTATGGGGGGGTGCAGCAGGGGCAGTGTGCTCAGATGCCGGGGGCCCTGCAAGGACCTGCTCGGTATCTCGGTGACCCAGAGCCTCCCCAGGACGCCAGCGGCCTGCCTGCCCCGGTGGCCCAGCCCCCGCTCCCACCCTCCTCCCTGTGTTGACCCTGGGGGCTCATGGGCTCACCCCTCGTCTTCTCGTCGTGTGCGGAGACGCTGGCCGACCCCGGGGGTCTTCAGAGCTCTGCTGGGAAACCACCCATCTCGTCCCTTTATAAATGAAGAGAAGGCCCCACGTTGGGGAGTGAGGTGCCCGGGGGGCCACCCAGCCCCGGGCACCGCCCACTGGAGTCTGGTGCCCAGCAGGTGCTGATGTCGTCCCCCTACAAGGGCGAGGGCCGCGGGATAGCCATGCTGAACCTCCTGAAGACCCTGAGCCAGAGCATCGCGCCCTCCATGGCCGACGTGTGGGAGCTGGAGATCCCGCTGCTGGTCAAGTACCTGGAGGGTGAGGTCCGGGACTCCCCCGCGGCTCCCCAGTCGGCGAGGCGCTGGAGTGCTAGTCCCGTGGCCTGAGCAGCAGGGGCCGAGGCGCAAGTGGGCCCCCCGACTCTTGGGAAGGTGTGGGGCGGGTAGAATGCACCTCTGACCCACGGAGGGGCCCCATGCCGGCTCAGGGCCAACCCCGCGAGGGCAGCAAAGGTGTGGCCTTTCTCTCTGCAGAACACACTGAGTTTACCTGGACTCAGAAGACCTGGGAGGACAAGCTGATTCAGGTAAAGGAGTGACCCGGCGTGCAGGGCCAGGGCCCGGAGGAAGGGAGGGGCGGGGAAGGGTCCTTGGTAGGGTGGGCTGTGGGCCGAGGAACCCTTGAAGTACATGTTCTCAGTCCAAGCATATCTGGGGATACCCAGCGGGGGCGAGGGGGAACCTTCCTCTCTGGGGAGCCAAGTGATGCCCCTGCCCCCAGCCCCAAATTACAGCCATGCCCTCAGGCCCACAAAGCATGAGTGCTAGGCGGGCTTCGTGGGTGAGAGGGCTGGCGGGCGGTCAGCTCTCCCGGGCCCAGGTGAGGCAGAGCTGGGGGCCTTTGGTACTAGCCCTCGACACCTGCCTCCCAGTTCCTGAGAAACTCTCTCAGGAAGACCCGGGGTTCCAGCTGGAGCCTGCGCCTGAGCAAGGAGCTCAACAACCAGATCGAGAGCTTTGACAGCCCCTCCCTGGAGAAGGTTGGTTCCCACGCAGGTGGTTCACCAGGTCACTTCTGGCTGGGGGGGCCCCAGGGGCGGCGGGCGGGACCAGCAGCACCAGAGGCTGTCCGGCCTCCCGGAGGAGAGCTGGGTGGTAATCTAAGGCCAGCTGTCCAGGGCGGGAAGCCACAGGCGTGTTCCACACACGCGCAGTCCAGCCAGCCCGCGGTGACTCCCCTAGTAAGGGAAAGTGTTGGGGAGACGCTCTTATGACTCCAGCACCGTTGGATGCGGCAGCTGAAGAAACTTCAGCCAGAGCCCCCCAGGCGTCCTCGCAGTGGGCAGGGGCCTCCAAATCTGTGCACCCCGCAGACAGTCCGTTTCTCCCAGAATTAATGCGAACACCTCAGTATACTCCCTCCACGCAAATAAAGGGAAACGACAAATCATTGAACAATGCGCCTGCTCAATGTAGCAGCACAGTGCAGAACAGGTAACCCCAAACACTGAGCACCCGAATTCTGTGGCCCAGCGTGAGGAGCAAAACAGTATAAAGGGGCCTCCCGTTCGGGGCCTCCTGCTCGCCCGTGCCGAGAAAGTCTGCCGGTTACAGAGGCGTCCGCTTTTCTCAAGTTAATCGGCAAGGGGATACGCTCCCTTTTCGAATTCCAAAAGATGTTGGTGGAAATAGAACCATTTAAGCTGAAGATTGTTTCCAAGTGCCCCTGGACGCGTGAGTGCCAGAGATGGACCCAGACGAGCACCCCGGGGGAGGACTGGCTCTCCCCGCGGCTCGGAGCCCTGAGCAGATGGGTGTGGCGTCACGGACCCCCCAGAATCGCGCTCACTGTGGACCAGGGCTGAGAGCGTACGGAGAAGTCAGCCAAGACGGGGAGGAGCTGTGACAGCGAGACATTGCTGGGTGGTGAAACAAGACCACCGCTGAGAACCCAGAGGCCAGCGAGCCGGGGGACGTGTCCCGCTGAGCGAGACCTGCTGGTCAGCCACGTCCTGTGTGATGGGTGAGCGGGACCTCGCTCTTCCGGGCTTCAGCGCTGCCCCCCACTCCTGCACCTCCTCTCTGCGCGCACTGACCACTGGACACGGGGTTCTCAGGGCTGACGTGCTGGGGCTCACCTCGCGCCGCGGGGCAGAGTTTCTTCCCGGAGACGTAGCCCCAGACGGTCGTCAGATTCACTCAGAGTCGTGCGGCTGAGTGAGGGGCTTCATTTTCGTGTTGTTTTCCTGCAGGAACACAGAAGACTCGTGGGAATCAAAAACCAGGGAGAGCAGCCCACGGAGAACGGGCAGGCGCTGGGTGGCGTGAAAGATGGCTGGGCATCGCGCACGCTCGAGCTGTCGCCTGCCAGTGCCCCCACCCCGGGAAAGGGGCGCCCGCCGCTGCGGCTGGGCGAGCGGACTGCTGCAGCTGTCCAGGGAAAGCAGAAGCCCCTCTCGGCCACGGGCTGCCCCGTGCCGCTGACCACTCAGAGCTCGGGTGTTTGTCTTAAAGACCCGGCAGTTTCTGGACCCTGGACGACTGTGTGGCCCCCCGGAGGGCGGGCGGCGGGGGGGGGGGGCTGAAGCGCCCTCTGCCCCTCTCCCTCTCCAGGGCTTTCTGTACCGGGCCTTGGGCTTCACCTTGGCCTCGGGGCTGGAGGCCGACAAGGTGGAGGTGCTGCTGCTCGAGCTGCTGTACAAGACCGACTACAGCAACGACTTCGACCGGGAGGTGAGGGCGCCCATGCGCTGCTCTCCGCCAGCTCCCTGGGGCCCCCGGGCCCTGGCACGCGTCTGTGGCGTGCGTGCGTGTGCGCGTGCAGAGAGCCCCTCTGCCACCCTCAGCCTGCTGGCCTGGTCCCGCAGGGCGTGATCCAGTGCTTCGGCCTGTGTGCCCGGGGCCAGGTGAAGACGGTTCTCAAAGTGCTGCATGACTTCGAGGAGAGGATCCAGGAGTCGGAGCAGTCCTGGCAGATCGGGGCTTGGCGGGTAGGGCCCGCAGGGCAGCCAGGTCCCCAGGGGCTCCCAGCACAGTACTCTAGCACCCAGCCGGCTCCTGCCAGGCCTGCGTCTCCAGCCACAAGTGAGGCACCCGAGGCCTCGTCCAGCAAGGCTCTCGCTGTCGCGTTCTCGCTGCCCCGAGCGGGCCCCTATTTATGGCAGCCGCTACTGCTGCTACTCACAGCGGGCCCCTCAGACTAGCCGCGGGTGCCCCTGGCGGAGGGGGGAGTGCAGAGCCCCAGGCCCCCCTTGGCTCCCCTGGATCTGAAGAAATCGCTCAGTTTCTCTGCGGGAGGGCGTTGTCTCTGCCCGTCAGCTCTGCTGAGGCAGCACAGCCCTGTCCTCCCGGGGGCAGCCCCGAGGGCCCTCCCCGCCCAGGGGCCATGCCAGGTGGCCGAGCCTTCAGTGGGCCGCCTCTGGAGTCACTGAGGCCGCGGGCATTGGCTTTGACCTCTACCCCTCCCCCTGGGGGCTGGTGGTTTGGGTGGAGGAGACCAGGGCACCCCACAAGCCGAAGCGTGGGAACTGCACTGCTGCTCAGGGCCCAGGGGCGCCCGGCACCCCACCGCTCCCTGGGGGGTCCGGCAGCACTCCTCCCATGCGATGGCTGTGTGTCCCGCGACCCCGGCCCAGAGCAGATGCCGGAGGAGAGGGCACACGGAGCGCCTGTGCGGTGTCCACACAGGCCCCTGCTCAAGCCAGCAAGGCTCTGGCCTCTGTCGGGCGCTGACGCCTCGCGGGCCCCCTGGTCTCTCTGCCTGGCACCTGGCGGAGCTCAGTCGGGCGGGAGTAAGTGAAGGAGGATGTAGGCCCCCGAGAGCTGTCCGTGGGCAGCCCTTCAGCCAACTCCCAGACTCTCGGCTGTGTGACCAGACAGTGTCCACGGAGGGGCCGCCCACCCCCTCCCAGAGGGGCGAGGGGGAGCTTCTCCCCTTCTTGCTGGCTTTGCAGAAGGACCACCCCTGGAGGCGGGAGGCGGTGAAGAGCGCCCTCATGGTGACGTACAGCTGCGTGGCCTTGCACTGCCACCCGCAGGTGCTCCTCGCCCACCTGGACAGCCCCATCGCGGCCAAGATCATCCACCACTACTCCAGCAGCTGCCAGGTGACTCTGGGGGCCGGGATCCCCTCTCTGGGGGGGGGAGTCCCCCAGGAGACGTGCAGGAGTCCTGCCCACCCCCCAGCATTGGGGAGCCCGGGTCTGTGCTGATTTTGGCTACAGAGGGAAGTGGGGGCAGCTCCTTCCCAGATGGGGTGAGCATGGGTCCCCCAAAGATTGCATCACAGGAAAGCACCAGCGTCTTAGCCTCACTCGTTCTCTGCCCTCGCCTCTCCCGTGTCCTCCTGACCTCTGCCTGAGGCCCAGAGGGGACGGGCAGTGGCGTCTTCACGGCACCAAGCAACAGGCCCAGCGCCTGGTCTGCCTGGAGGCCGCCCCAGCTGGAGACAGGAAGGTTCATGGTGAACCTGCGGGCCAGGGGCAGGTGGTGGCCTCAGATCTGACTCCTTGTTAAGAAAGGGGGTGTTGGGGTGGCTTCGGGGGTTCAGGGCTGGGGACAAAGGCATTAGAGCTTTTTGACTAAGGGCAAAGAAAGGGGCCTGGTGGAAGCTCACTGGCCGCTTCAGAGACCTCCGTACTCGGGGAATCCGAGGGCGCTTTTCTTCCCATACCGGGTTTCCGCGGGGAGCCCCGGGCGCCGGGTAGCCCCTTTGCAGCCTCCTGGACCAGCAACGCTGGTCTGCTCTGTGCTGTGTTTCCTGGGCCGCCGGGGTCCATGTGACTTCAGCATCATTCGGGGCCGGGGGTGGTGGTGGCAGAATGGCAAGGGGAACACAGAGAATAAAACGAAATGATCTCACGGTGACGGTTTGAAGCCGGATGGTAAAGCGCACAGACCCCAAGCCAGAAAAGGCAACAGCGATTTTGTCTCCATAACTAGTCCGCCGGTCTCTGCGCCCGGAGCGTGGCCTGCCTGGCCGGTGGTGGTGCCTGCTGACGTGGGCGGGCTGGGAGACGCCACGGCCCTTGGGGTGTGAGGCCTGGCCTGGCCCTGCCGTGTGCCGGGAGGGTGGAATGAGGCTGCGGTCTCAGGGCCCCCACACGGGCGGGGCGGGGCTGTGACGGGGCCGGGGCGCTGGCTCACAGATGGCCTGCCGGGCACAGGGCATCTGCCTCAAAATGGCCTTCCTGAAGAGTGTGGTGCAGGTCACCAGCGCCATCAGAAACATCAGAGACCCCGAGGACTTTCACTTTTCCCAAAAGGCGACGCTCACTGGCATTATTGTGGTAAGTGGGGGAGGGGGTTTCTGGGGGCCGGCGGAGGGTCTAACTTGGTTTCCTCTGGCTGATGTCTTCAGTGTTCCTGAGGGCATTTGAGGGGCAAGGGGTCCCCAGCAGGCAGGACTTAGAGCCACTTTTGCATGGACGATGTTGAGACGGGAGCATGCCAGCTGCCCGGAGGCAGCAGTGTCCATGGGCTCACGGGCCTGCGGGCAGCCACCGTCCTTCATCCCCAGGCCTGAGCCCCTGGCAGCTGCCCCAAGGGACACGAGCCTGGGGGTAACAGGAGGCTCTGGAAGGAAGCCAGCCCGCGCGTGGCTCCAGTTCGGGCCAGGAGCTGTGCACATGACTTCGCGCCGGGCAGGCGTGGCCCTGGGAGACGGCGCCCACAGGGGCAGAGCCCCGGGACACGTGGCGAGACCGCGGTAGTCCCAGGAGAGGCCCCCCGAGCCCCGCTCCTCCCACCTGCTCCCCGCCCAAGCCAGAGTCAGGTGACTTAAGTGGAATGGAGCGAGGGGCTGGTAGAGCACCGAGGCACAGCCAGCCCGGGACGCCAGGGTCGCCCTCGACCGCAGACCCCGCCTGCCTGGCCGGGGCTCCGGGTGCCGGCCCTCACTGCCCTGTGCGCCCCGCAGGCCATCATCAAGGCGGAACCCACGGACACCCTGGCTTCCCCCGTGCGGACCATGGCGCTGGAGGCCCTCACGCACCTGAGGTGAGCGCCCACCTGCCGGCTGCTCCCCTGGGCAGAGGCCACGTCCCAGACCACCCCCAGCGCCCCGTGGGGGGCTGCACCGCCTTTGCAGCCTGTGCCCCACCTCTGCCGGGTCTCAGTGGCAGCTGCTGGGGTAAAGGCTGTCCTCGGGTGTGGGGCCTGTGTGTGCCACGGTCTTCCCCAGTATATTCCATATTCTCTAGTGTTCTCGGCAACCCCGTTGGGTTGCGAGGTGGGAGGTCATGGGTGGGGGGGTGCTGGGGGGCAGTCCTTAGCTCCACGCAGGGATGTTCTGAGCAAGAAATTCCTCCCAATTGAGTAGAAAGGGATCAACACATTCCTTAATGGTTTCCGTGTGGCTGCAGTGGCTGCAAAGTGACAGAAAACTGGAGGGTCCACCCACCGGTGGGGAGCGGGGAGTGGGGAGACGCTAGGTGCTGGTGAAATTCGTGTTTGAAGTGGTGGGGTGGCGTCAGGAAACTTCACTCTCGGGGCACACCCCCGAGGTCCCCGCAGGACGCCGTGGCTGGGGAGGGCCGCAGCAGGATGTCACCGGTCCCCAGCACCCTCAGGGGCTCGCGAGGAGGTGAACACACACTAAGGGAGTCACAGGCGGGGGCCAGAGTCGCGGGTGACCCCAAGGGAAGTCACTTAAGGTGGGAGAAGGGAGGAGACAAAATGCGGCTGAGTTTGCATCCTGCCGGGCGGGTTATTACACAGCACCAGACTCCACGCCTAGAACTTGCGAAGTCTGAGCTGAGGCATGGAACTTGCGTTCCCAGTAAGCCCCAAGGTGCCGCAGCTCTCACCCTGGGAAGCCTGAGCGGGGAGCAGCTGGGAGCTGCCTGGGAGGCAGAGCCCAGGATGTGGTCAGGGAGGAGAGGTGGACGTGCCCAGAGGCCCCTTGGCCGGCTGCTCCCCTAGGTCACTCATCGCTGGACAAGGTGACTGGGTGGGGCCAGGCTGCTGCTCCGGGGTGCAGGAGCGGGTGCCTGAGCCCCAGGTGCGCTGGCTCCACCCTGGCTCTGTGGCGTGACCTCACGCCCGGCGGGCAGTGCGGCGGTGGGGCTCACCTCCCCACTGACCATGCCTCTGTGGCTGCTTCTCCCCCAGCACCCTGAGGCCTTTCTACTCCACAGAGGAGAGCAGCGAGCTGATGGACATCAGCTTACATGCTGTGATTTCTCTCCAGCCCCCAGCAGAGGACAATGAGTCCATTAAGGTAGGTCCCTCCGGTCAGCTCATTTTCTGGCCAGGACTGGGAGGTCCACATCAACATGGTCCAAAACCAGCCCTGACTGATGTCAGCAGCAAAGGACACTTTGCTCCCTCAGCAAGTGCAGGACAGGGGCTAGCTGCTCTACCAGGTGAGCCCTGAGGGTGTGAAACAGTGTGTGTGCCCCCATGAGGGCCCGCTCAGGAAGTGGCCTAGCTGGCTGTGGGTCCTGTTCAGCCCCTGGGAAAGATACCTGTCGCTGTTGAGACGCGTGGAGGGAGTGTGAGGAACTCCGAAGTCAGGCTGGTCAGAAAGACAAATACTCAGTGTTTATAGTGTGGCTAACTGGACAAAGCCACGTGCTTTAAAAAGCTGGAGGCTTCTGAGGTTGAGGGAGGGGGAAGGAGAAAGGGTCAAAGGGATATTAGGGGTGGTGACAAAAACAAACAACAACAAGCAGATAAACCCTGAAATACCCAGTGTCAAGGAAAGGAAAGCCTGCTTCTCACTCAAGCGAAGTCCAGTTGGCAGTGGGGGTTGGAGCGGCTTCCCACAGGGCCCCAGGCCCTGAGCACACAGAGGCTCCTCCACCTTCCATGCGCGGCTCTGAGGCCCCTGTGGCGACCGGTGTCCGATGTCCGGCCTGGCGAGGGGGCGAGGCAAGTGGGGTTCTTGGAGCTTTCTTGCTCACCTTTCATTGGCCAGAACTCAGCCACGCGGCGCCACGGGTGCAGGGGGTGCTGGGAAATGTAGCCCCAGACTGGAAGGCTGTGTCCCGGCAACTCTGCAGAAAAGGAGGACACTTCTCTGCCTGCAGGTCCTGGTCCTGGGTGGGGATTCGGGAGACAGGGGCCCTGGGCGTTCAGTTTCATCCTTTGTGAAGTGCGCTCCTCTTAAGAGCAGCTCCTCTTGTGTGTCTGGTCCATCACACAAGAAGATACCTGGAAAGAGCTCAGGCTGAGCACAGGTGCAGTGCACGCCTGTCCACCCTGGGGACCCTGAGGCGCCTGGGGGGAGACTGCCCGTCTTTGCCGCCCAGCTCCCTTCTCTCCCGGCCTAGACCTTGTATGCGAACGCCCTGCACGCGCTGGAGCAGCTGATGGGGGGGCTCATGCAGCGGCAGCTGGACCCCAGGGGGCTGCAGGACATGGTGCACGTAAGCTCCGCAGCCGGGGCGCGGGCAGGCGGGCGAGTTAAAATGGTTTGGGCTGCGTGGAGTGGGCGGGAGCCCCGCTGCCCAGGACCCAAGCTACACGGGGCGCCTGGCTCCCACCTGCACCCCCTGCAGCCAGGCCCACACAGAGCTGCGCATTCTTCACTACCAGATTCTTGCTTCTTAATGCTTTGCCCGCTTTTCTTTTCCCTGGTCTCCTCCTGCACACGCACACAACACACACTCACCCCTTTTCAGCCGAAAGACTTGGCTGCAGACACCAAGGTGACCGTCTCTGGTATAACAACCGAAGGCCAAAATCAGGGCGCGGTTTGCTGATACCCGGCTGCGTGCTAACCCGCAGTCGGTCTTCAGACTTCACTTATCCTTCCGATAACGCCGCTCAGGGCTGCCCCCCAGCGGGATCGAGTCCCTCGCTGCTCGCAGGCTGCTTCTTGTGGGAGCACTGACAGGCTGCGTGGGAGGGAGGCCAGCAGGCCTCTGTTGGCCAGGTCAGGGCCGGGAAGGGCCGGCCCAGGTCTTCATGCCCCGCCTGTGTGTGGCCTTGTCCCGTAGCTCCTGGAGAAGTGGATCTTGTCGGAGAGAGCGTGGGAGCGGGAGAAGGCCACGCGCCTGCACCTTCATCTCCTGCAGCTCTACATGCAAAGCGTCGGCGTCTGTGTGAGTGGGGGCGTCTGGGCCCCCACTTTGCTGCTCTGACACCCACAGGAGTTCCCGTCTCTGCCCCCAGGAGAGAGAACACCTTTGAAATTGCGTTGCTGTCCTGCGTCCCTAGGGCAGAGGCCCTCACCTGGCACTAGCAAGGCTCTCCCCTCCCTGCCGCCCGGAGCCAGCCCTGAGCTGTGGGGGGGCGCAGGGGAGAGCCGGGCATGCCTTGTCTGTGGGGCCCAGGGTCTGTACTGGGGAGCCGCCCTCCTCGAGAAAGGGGACACACGACTGTCATGACCCCATTGGCCTGGAAGCTGAAGATCTACTTAGGAGAGAAAATCAACCATGACAAGTACCCCCAAGCCTCATGAAATCTGGAAAAGCCAGAGGGTGTCTGTTACCAGCTCTGGGCGCCTCGGGCCTCTCTCAGGCCTCCTCCCCGACGCAGGCTCCCGACACGGACCAGCGCCCGCGGGGGCGGCCTGGGCAGCGGGATGGAGGTGTCCCGTGGGGGTGGGTGGGCCCTCTGTCTTGACTGTGACGGAATGAGGACAAGCTGGTTGGGGTGTGGGGTCAAAACTAAACGGCGGTACTTTTGAGAGTGGACACTGGGCCCCACGTGGCTTCTGGGTTCTCTGGAAGAGGAGACGCTGGTATTATCTATGCTTCAAACACAGGGGCCCACGGCTAAATCCCTGCCCAGGTCACCCAGCCTTTGGGGGGACGCTCAGATCTGAAGTCAGGGCTCCCCTTCACCTATGGAACGAGGCAGGCACCAGGTCGAAGGGCCTGGGCCTGTGGTGGGCTGAGGGGAGTCCTGGCTGCTGGCCTCCGGGGCCCGCCGTGGGCAGGTGGTGGCATCCTCCCCCTTCCCAGACGGTGACCTGGGGCAGCACCAGCTGCTTGTGAATGGCTTTGGGTGAAGTGTGGGTCTCTGTCCCCAGATCCCCTTGAAGCTGGGGCAGTTTGGCATGCTGGTGGGGCTCATTGCCCCCTGCACCTGTGACTCTCACAGGAGGACGCGCATGACCTCCATGGACATCCTGTCCAGCTTGCTAGACCTGCACGGTACGGGAGGGTGGCCGGAGCAGGCCGGGGGGCTGCCCCCGTGTCTGCAGTGGGGCTGATGAGGGGGGGGCGCACTCTGGGTAGGCAAGCGAGCACCAGGCCAGAGTGAGCAGCAGAGGGGCAGAGGGCAGCCCAGCTCGCCAAGAGGCTGTGGAAGCTTCTGGAAGGAGAGACTTGTTGGTTGGGTGTGACTCAGCAAGGGCCCCCTGGGATAAGTCAGCTCACCGGTACAAGGGCAAGGCCGAGCCGGCCAGAGACGCGCAGGGATGTGTACTCCGGTGACCTTCCGTGTGGGAGGGTTTGCCCTGGCTGGCTTCTTGCCCGGGGTCACGGGAGGGTCTCCCCAAGGGCAGGCGTCAGCGTGGCACGGGGCTGATGTGGAGAGAGGGACCCTGAGTGCAAGGAGCTGGCCCATGGGCAGGGGGGTGCCCGTGCCCTCGCTGACTGCCCTGGAACTGGACCCCCCCAGCAAGCCAGACCTGCTCCCCATGGGGCGCTTCCAAGGAGCTGGAGCTGGCGAAGTGTAGGGAGGATCTCCAGGACCTGGACGGGGAGAAGGTTCTTTGCGCGTCCTCCAGAATCGCCAAGGTGATGAGCCCGGAGGGCGGTGTGGCTGCTGGTCCCGGGAGGCGGCCATCTTGGGCAGGCGCGGCGCCTTCCTTGGGCTGAGGGTGCAGCCCCTCCCCTGGGGCCCTGGCTTCCTCGCCTTGGGACACCGATGCCACCTGTTCCCAGGCCCGCAGTGCGTGGAGCCCCCCCCACCCTACTGTCGCTGTGATGTGCTTCTCGGAGGGGGCGGGGGACCTGCCGGCGGGCGTTGGCTCGGGTCATGCCACGGTGCCCTGGCCACTGACCCAGGGCCTCGCGCCTCTTGGGGCTGCAAGGAGGAGCCTACTCCTCCTCCTGGGGCAGAGTCCCTGGGGGGGCGGGGAGGGGCTGCAGGGCAGGTTGGAGGGTGTTGCAGGGCGGAGGAGTCAGGCCGGGGAGGGTTTGGGGTAGAGTTTCCTGTGCGAGGTTCAGGTCAGGTGACGAGGAGGGGTCACGAAAGCCAACTCCCTCTGGGCTTTGAGTGTCTGAGCACTGCTGGGGCCGGGACGGGGAGAGCCTGGACCAGAAGGCAGGGGAGAGAGGTGGCAGGCCCGGGCTGGGGCCCCGACATGGGGCAGAAGAGGGGGGAGTCGCAGGGACGGGCGGGCTCGGGGCGGGCCCGGGGCTGGCGGCAGGACCCCGGACGGCCACTCTGGTGCTAGGTGGCATGCCTGGAGTTTAACTGCGACGAGGTGGTCTCGCTCATCCAGAAGCTGTGTGAGAACATCGGGGCCATGGGCCTGCAACACGACAAGGCCTCCGTCACCTGGATCGGCACCTTCCTCCAGATGCGGGTCAAGGAGCTGGAGGACAAGGTGGCAGAGCTGGGGGGGCCGCTGGTGTGGCCCAGCTGGAGGGGTGGGGGAGGACCGGCCAGCCACGCTTGCTGAGAGCACCTCTCCACCCCCGGCTGTCGAGAGGAGGAGGTAGGAGACTTCTTGAAAGAGAAAGGCATGCGTGGACGAGCTGACCAGAGCTGGCTGACCTGGGCTCGCTGTCCAGAGCGTGCCGCCTCCCACCTGGCACAGGGCTCCCCAGAGGTGGTGCTGCAGGGCTCGTCCGGGGTTGCTGTGGGGAGCCCTGGTGACGCCCGCTCTCCCCAGGTAGCGGAGATCCTGGGCGCCATCCTGGCGCACCTGCCCGTGGTGGACCACCGGGCGGTGCGGCGCCTGCTCACCGAGGGCCTCCTGCTGCTGGCCCACTACCACCAGGAGCCCGTGCTCACGTCGCTGCTGAGGCAGCCCCTGCCCATGGAGAGGTGGGTGCCGGGCGTGGCCACGCCTCCTGCGCCGTCCAGGCCAGGCTGGCCTCTCCCGGCCTGACCCTGGCCGCATCTCCCGGGAGGCCCGGCCCTGAGGACGGTGGGCGGGTCTGGGTGTGGCCCCTCGCCCTTTGCTGAGCAGGGCAGCACTCGGCTGCCCCCCAGCCCTGGGCTGTTCCAGGATAACCCAAAGGACGCAGCCCCCAGCTGGCCCCTGTCCCTCTTGCTTTCCAGAGCTGGCCCTGGGGGGAGGCAATGGGCACCCAGGGGACCAAATGGCAGACCCTCAGGCCCCCCAGGGCTTGCAGTGAAGCTGCCCCTCACCCACGGCCTTCCCAAGCCGGTGCCTGGTTCTGTTTCTGTCTGTGTTGCACCGGCAGCTGGCAAGGTCTCACCCTTAGGGGTGTGTGTCTGGGGTGGTACCCAGTTCATCGGGCGAGGTCCAGAAAGAGGGAGGCAGCTGTCTCCCGAGCAGCAGAGACAGGGACAGGGATGTGTGGAGAATGGGGGTGGGGATTGCAGGGCTCCCACCTTCAGATGCTGGATTAGGTCATCTCCATAAAGGAACAGCTCGAGTGCAGATCTTGTTCTAAATTAGCTTATACTAATCAACACAGCCTCCGGCTGAACGCCACACAGGGCAGAGGACAGAAAACAAGTCAGGTTTGTTAACAACAAAAGAAAACAAAGCACGGGTGATTTGGTGGTGGGAAGCCCACGGGGATTACAACTGAGATGGAAAAAGGCACAAAATGATGTAGAAATAAACTATTATATTATTAAAAAAAAACAACCAAAACTAAAACGGAAAGCAGGTTTTCCTGCCTAGGGATTATTTTAAGTGCACCAGGTGAGTTCTGTGGCCACAAATCAACAAGTACAAGATCAAGTACAACAGGTTAAAAGTCACGAGGGCTGAAAGGAGCAAGATACAGGGCCCAGCCTGGGGCTCGGGACGTCCATTTCAAGTGGCCGTCTGGCAGCCGACTCCAGCCAGCCTGACTGCCCCTTCTGGGGGCTAGGACATGAAAATCTTTCTCCACTGCATAGGGGAGGAAGCAATACCACCCTAGCCCTGGGCAGTGCCCACAGGGGTCCCCGTGACCTAGGGCTCCCCAAGGGGCTGCGGCTTCCCCAGGGGTGCCACACAGTGGGCGCATGGAGGTTCCCTACATAACCTCCAGGGGCTCCCCCCGCCCCCCGAGAGCCAGCCTCCAGCATCCAGTCCCCACTCAGGTCCAGGGGGCTACTGCCTGCCAGGCACACGGCAGGAGACCGCAGCTTGCCCTGTCCCTGGCTAGCCACCTGGCAGAGGTGTGGCTGGCCGTGGCGGAGAACGTGCCCTTGGCCCGCGCAATGCTCCACGGACTGATGGGCCGTCTGCAGGCGAGGTTCTCGCCCAGGGCAAGAGCCACCTCCAAGGCGGACGTCTGGCGCCTGGCTGCGGTGGACCCGCTGATGGTGAGTCGGGCCGGGCCCGCCCCGGGGGGCTCGGAGGCGGGGCCCCCAAGCCTCTCACCCATCTCTCCGCAGACCCTCTGCACCATCCACCTCCTGATCCAAAAGATAGACGAGGACGACAAGCTCCCGGACCTCTTCCCGGACCTCGTCTACACGCTCCTGCTGCAACTCAGCAGCAGGCAGGGTCCGGAGGCCGGGTCGCCGGTCCTGAAGACCTGGAGGCTTGTCCACACCGGGACCCTGCCCGAGGAGATCAACCTGCAGAGGTGCCCGGGGGGTCCCGGGCTGGAGGTGGCCCTGGGAACCCACCACCTCCACCAGGCGGCCCTCCTCGGCCTCCCGGGGGACATTCTGGAAGCTGGCCTCCGATCCCCGCTCGTGTCCAGGACCCTTTCCAGACTCTGCAGATCTGCTCGCTCCTGGGACGGCCCCAGCCCTTGAGGCCCGCTGCAGAGCCCAGGGTGGGTGCCCCCAGGGGGCCGTCACTTCATGATGTGGCCCCGCTCTCTTCCAGGATCACCATCCAGTCCATGCAGCTTTTGTTTAAGAGGCTCCAGAGTGAGCAGCTGCTTCAGAACCTGGAAGAGCAGGGCGTGTGGGGGCTCCTGGGGAGCAGCGCCACCTTCCTGCAAGGAGTGGGTGTGCTGGCCAGGTGAGTGCTGGCCCTGCTGCCGGCTGGGGACCCGCAGGGGCAGCTCCTTGCTGGGAGGAGATGTGGATGCCTCACTTCCGAGGGTAGCGGCGGTGGCCGGATCTGGCTGCATGTACCGGCCAAGTGGGGGGGGGGCTCCACCTATTCCACCCCTTCTGCCCCAGAGCTGGAATGTGGGGTCAGAGGCCGGACCCGCAGGGGGTCGCTTCCAGGTGGCTTCCTTTTAGTCCCCTTTCATGCCAAGGTGATGGGAAGCGTGTCAGCAGCACCCCGACCAGCCCCCACCCCAGCGAGGAGAGGGGCCCAGTGGTGTTCAGGGCTCAGGCTGCCTGCTGGGGAGCAGCAGTCCCCCTCTGAGCAGCCCCTGCTGCCCACAGGCTGTGCGTGGGCCACGTGCAGGGCCACAGGCAGCGGCTGTCGGAGCTGGTGCTCAGAGGCATGGCCTCCGAAGTCCTGAGCTGCCGCGTGAGCAGCACCGCCG